ACAACGTTGACCCCGGCGTTCTGGGGATAATCGACTGAAAATAACCCCAAGAGACGGGCACCGGGGACCCCCCTTGGGTCTCTGATAGACTCGTTCTTCAATACAGCCTGGTGCATCTGTTCCTTTTGAAGAGGACGAATGACTTCGGCAATTAGAGGAGCAGCAGCGGTAGCGGCAGAAATCCTATATCGAAAAGACCGCCGCACGAATCGACCTGCGTCTTATTTCTCGCTTATAATGATCGCCGAGATTACGCGATCGTACATCTGCGGGGATATTATCCCAAGACGCGATGGAGACCGCAGTCTTGGCGGTTAACCCTGAGGAGCGCGAGTGAATCTAAACGCGAACAGATAAAGAGAGTATAAAAGGACGAACGCAACGCGAGGGAGCTCAGTATCAGAGTCTCCCAGCCCTGATGAAGCAGACTGCAACGCCTGCGAAACGTCGGCACCACACTGCAAACGGACGCGGCAACCATCCGGAAGCCATGAAGACTAAAGATAAAGAGAGTCCCGATAAAACGGACAGGATTCAACAATACCCTAATAAATTACAGAAGAAATTAAACTTCGACTCAACTTATTTCTCTAAACAAAAGCAAAAATGGGAAAACTCGTGCAAAGAAGAAAACGTTATATTTTTCCAGAATGAAAGTTAACGGACAAAAAACGAAATGTATTTAAACAAAGCGTCGCGCGATCGCAGACTACCTTCAGAGTAAAGAAATTTATATCAATGATACATTCTCTCAGAGTAGGAAAAAAACGTAAAATTTTTTTCGCTTAATTAATAAACGCTACGAGAGGGAAAACGGCAAAATGTGTTGGACAATATCGCGACCGGGATCCTATTTGACCCCCGCCATTGTAGCGGTCGAGGATTAACGTTGGTGCGCAGTCAGACATAATTGGCCCGTGCTCATAGAATTTACTACAATTAAAGCATTTGCATAACGCGATGGCGTGTCGGGGAATATCTTTTCATCAAACTGATGAGCAACCAGCGGTGCCGTGTATTATATACACGAGGTGATAGATTGTCGGGGACGGACACGCTAAGGGGTTTGTTCGTTTAATACTCATCCCTAACTATTCAGTGCCAGCACCGTTGCGGGAGTGTAACTGCTCGCTTGTATTCAAATCAAGGGCCGGCAAATGCTTCTTCTTTTTTTTTTGCTCCTACCTTTTCAAAACCGCCTCAATGGTCGAGCCTCAAATGACCGAGTACAAAAGCGAAGGAAAATAAGTAAAAGTTCCCTTCGTAGAGTATGTTGTTGCAGTTCGCGCGCGCAGTCCCGCCACTTTACATCTCCGATTCACTCCCGCGCGGCACTTGACGTGAATTGCAAAAATTAATATTGTTTTTGGAGACGCGGTGACATTCGCCGGCCGGGCAGTTTTTTGACTAATATTGAAACTTGACTAATTGTAGGCTTGTGATACAAGCCCTGCAATAACAGGGAAGGGTTAAAAGTTGTCCAAGTTGGCGCGAATGAAGCGACAAGTAACAAATGACGAATGATAAACTGCGGAATCCCGAATGGTACGGTAAGTAATAACGAAGGTCCAGCGAGTCGGGTATCGCGCGTAGTGCGGCGCTAGCTTTACGCAAGGGTTGCTCGGCTGAAAGACCTCCGTACGGAGCCGGCGAGGGCCGAGCTTTAAATTCAACCTGACTGCATAGGCAGCGTCATGATTACCGGGGCGCAGCCCGCGCGATCGGCGCGGTTCGCGGTTGAACGGGGAGCGCTAAACGACACCAATAAGGAAGTAATAGCAATACGCGGGGCGGCAGAATGCACCGTGGGCTCTCTCGACGGGCCGGCGAGAGAAGGGGCGGCTTTCCGCGCGCAATTACGGATTTTGAGTGACAGATGCTCGCCCAGTCGGCAGTCGGAAGATTAAAACAAGTAATCAAAGTCCCGGTAGCCACCCCGGGATGGATATGGATGGATGCACGCCTCCGGCCCCTCCTGTCCCCTCCCGCGCTCCACCCTTCTGTCACCCTTCCGTGCGCTCCCCCTCTGATCCCGCCACCCGTTCTTCCTCCCCTTTCGTCGTGTCTCCTCGCCTCGACCGCTCCCCCTCCTCCTACCCTCGCCGCCCGTACCCCGTACGAGTTCCGCGCTCCTCCTTTACTCATCTTACTCCCTCCTGGAAGTAGCAAACCACCAAGGGTAAGCCCCGCTACTATAATATCCACCTATAGCCGTCATCAAGGCGCGCCCTGAATGCTCCTTTAAGAAAATGTTCCTTTCGCGAGCAGTCGCGTAGGAAGGTTATTAGGCGTCTTGAAGAGGCCGGGCGAGAGCGGGGGAGGCGGGGGGGGAGGGGGGAGGGAGAGAGGACCCGGGATGAGTTATATTCAAACGACGCTGGTTCTCTATCATCGGCTAAAGACGTGTCGGCAACATCGGAGGCAAAAGAAATCGACGACAATCGCCATTACTATAATATTAGCGTGATCATACCCGAGTCTGAACTGAGAGCATGGAGAGCGAACTTTAATTTTCCTGGCAAGTTTCGTTTTCGACATTCTTTTTTTTTTTAATTTGGTTTGCCGACCAAATTCCCTCCCCCTCGCCCTCCTTGGTCAGTTACTACATAGGGGAATACCTGCCGAGGAATAACTTAGTATCAGGTTGTTCCTGCCCGATGAAATAAACTGTAATGTTCACGGAACGTCGGAATCGGATAATAATAAAAAATTCACGCGGCTGAAACCCGGGAGCCAAACCCAATATTCGCATACACCGCGAAAGTCTCAAATATTAAACGTTAATTTAATAAGACCGACAAATATGTCAGCGCGCGGTGCTATGTCGAATTTCGTCACGATATGTGACTAATAACGTTAAACTGTTTATTGCGATAAATATTACCATACGCCTCGCTGGTCGAATTGGTGAGACGCCCTCTTGGCGAGAGGCAGTTTCCAGGTTCAACCCTGGCTATTATTTTTCACAATAGACTTCAAATTAAAATTATATAGACACTAATATCCTGTCTTGGCTCTTACTCCTTTATCACTTGGTATTTGCGTTTAGAGCCTTATAAATTTTATTAATTGTGTTGATTTAATAATCGTATTCGTGTTAGAAGCATAGAGAGGCAATAAAGAGCCAAACGAAGAAGATATTTTTGTAGAGAAGGTAGAACGTTTTGTGGTAACATAAAATATTTCCAACTAATTAAATCATACAGTTCTTATTCGGCTCGCACGCTTATACTTGCCGTTTTTTGTTACCTTTTTTAAAAAGATTTGTTTTTTTGAGATTATAATCTTATACTTCGAGACTTCTCCAAGGTGCCTTAGGAGTTGGACCAATTGGATCTCGTGGACCGGTTATCGGTGCGAATGCGAGGATGACTTTGGACGGGAATAAAAATTTGTGCAGCGCTTTAAGATCGTTTGGGGGTACCGTCGACCGGCACAATTAGGAACCGAAACCTTACTGTTACGCGCTCGATTGTCCCACAATGGAAGGACCATAAACCGAGGGCGGTGGACAAGGAATCCCTCGATTAGACTCGGCAATACAATGCCGATATAATCTGACCACTTAATCGGCAAAATATAATAGTGAATTGAACGATTACGTTTGCGATATCCTGTGCCGTGGCTGCTGGAGTACAAAAGCGGGTCATTTCGGCGAAACCGGGGATAATATTGCTCGTGATTGGAAATATGTGCTTTTGCGGAAAATACTAATGAAATCGTAAAGCAAACGCGCAGCAATGCGCCTCGTAAATCTTGTTTGTTACACAAAAAGCGGATTGCACGATGATACAAAAGTAGACGAATGGTAGGAAATACAAGTTGTATGCGTTTCTAATTAATTTGCTCTTTACTTTTCGACACCTTTGTCGAGAGGCTCGATTGCCCTCGCGCGGGAATTCTCGAAAGGTATAACGCCGAGACAAAAACGAACGTGGGGAAAAGGTCCCATTTTCCCCCGGTACACTTTCCCTCCTCTGTTCTACATCTCGCAACGATAACAGGGCCGCGCACCGCTGCGTACATACGACTTGTTGCCGTGAGACGCGAATGTGATTAAGTCTTGAGATTCTCGTGTGCGCGCGCGGGGATGACGAACCGGGATTGGATTTGGCGCAGGGATGACGCGTAGGGAGGAACGAAGGATGAGCCGTTTATCTCAGGCGTCGCTTTTCGGTTTTTCTCCCTCTCGCGATTTCCCGACGCTCTCGCGACGCGTTCCAAGCTCATCGCTTTCCCCGAGAATCATGGCTTTCATCTCTCTCGATCTCTCTCTCTCTCTCTCTGGTTACTTTACCCTCCTTCCTCGGGGGCGTTCCCCAAGACTCCGTGGTGCCCCGACGGGTATATCCTCTCTTCGCGAAATAATAAGCTCACTCTACTAAATTTATCATGAGCAGTCTTTAGAAGCAGCAGCCTCCGCCAACAACGCGCGCCAGCTTACCTACCTACTAATATTGTAACGGCTTTTAATTCCGTCATCTACCTTATGCTGCACGCGTTCTAATTATCTTATGGCATCCGCGCGTATACGTTGCGCGCGTACGTGTGCACGTATCCTGCCCCCCTCTCTGCTCGTCTCTATCCTCTCCCTCTCGTGTTTTCGAGTAATTTTAGCAGCCAACGTTAATTGCTCATATTGCTGCGCTATTACATTTTGGCGTAAACTGAGCATCCGCTAAAAGACAATTTGTCGAGTGTCTGTTGAACGTCTTACGCGTATTTTGTAAAACTGAAATTACAACGAAAATACTTTCCAATCATTTTAAATTATGTATTCATAAAATTCTTTGATTAAAAAAAAACAATTGCTAACGTCTAGTATGTAGATATCGGTTTTCTCAGCGTGGATATGTATTTTATATTCCGCATACATGTATATTTATTAACTGCGATGAGAAGCCGAGAAAAAATTCAACATGTCAAATGTTTTACGTATAATCCTTTACTCGCGATCAGAAAAGAATCAAATTAATGCTCGCGAGCCCCTGCGCGTTGAGTTTCTTGACCAAGTACTTATATATTTCTCTTACTATTTGCTCGTAAGATTTCATGCAAAATTGCATAAAATATAATGTATGTACATATAGAAGAAGCTTGTAAATACATTACATTGTTCTATGATAAAACGTATATAATTTCTTAAACTTTGTTCATTTTACATAATCAAGTGTATATTGCATTAGAACTAAATTATATATTACATTGCCATAATCTATAAATTTTATCATATCACATTATAATCTATTGTGTTGTACAAATCCCTGGAATAAAAGCCCTAAATGCAAGTCTAATTAACAGATTCAAAGTACTGTTTGCTATCTTTCGGATTCGGCTTGATGGTTTTGGAATCCGGCTGCCAATTTGCGGGACATACCTCACCGTGCTTCTCGACAAACTGGAAGGCCTTGATCAATCTCAACGTCTCCTCGACGCTCCTGCCAACCGGGAGATCGTTGATGGAAAACTGTCGCAGAATCCCCTCCTTGTCTATGATGAAGAGGCCTCTGAGAGCAACTCCCGAGTCCGGCAGCAGCACGTTGTAGCTGGTCGATATGGTCTTGTTGAAGTCGCTCAAGAGAGGGTAGCCCAGGTCTCCTCCGAGGCCGCCCTGCTTCCTCGGGGTATTAATCCACGCCAAATGGCTGAAGTGCGAGTCCGTCGACACTCCGATCACTTGTGTGTTCAGGGCTTTAAACTCGGCGACCTTCTCGCTGAATGCAATTATCTCCGTCGGGCAAACAAACGTACTGCAAATGGAATAAAAGAACTTGATACTGTGCCGTTATACCGGACATACGTGAGAGACGAGACAGAGTTACGTACAAATCTAACGGATAGAAAAATAGGACTACGAATTTCCCTTTGTAGTCGCGCAACTTGATCTCCTTGAAGTCGCCGTTGACCACCGCGGTACCAGAGAAATCCGGCGCGGACTTCTGGATCTGCGGCCCGTCGCCGAGTAGCCTCGAGCTCACTGAGAAGCCACGGGCAGCCTTCGCGAACGACGTGGCGTCAGCTCCCGCCAGCGAACCGGTTGCAGTCGCGACCTGCGGGCAAACATACGCAATCTGAAGAGACGACGCTCTAGCTCGTCACCGAGGCATCGATTGCAGAATTAATCGCATGCAATGAGTCAGCGAAACGCCGGGCCTCGATGCCGAAACGTATGACGAAATACTCGGTGGCACCTACCAACGTTCCGCCTCGTGCGCGCAGCGAAGCAAGTAATCGGAGCATCGTGAAAACGGACAATACAGTCTACCGCACACCCTGAACTCGCTCCGCAATTCTTCGTAAGACCCGCGGAATCGCAGAACCGAATAATGCGGACGCAAGGAAATTGTGTCACAACCTCTCGCACCGATAAGCCAACGGCTACCACCGGACCGGCGCGCCGGAGTAAACAGGTTATGAAACACTCCGGGGCAGTGTGGGTACTCGTGTATATATAGCGGGGAGCCCCCTATTATGAGACAGGCTCCTATGCTCCTAATATAAGATAACGGGGATTTCTGTTAAATTAATAGGCATCTGTTGATTCCACCGTGAATTTATTGCCCTTGGAGCGAAATTTGTTGGACTGCGTAATCGTTGCGAAAAAAAATTTGTGATCGAAGTTGAAAATCCGCTATCTCGTAACGTTTCCTCTACGTATGTGACGTAAGAACACGAGTGGTATACAAAGTATAACTGTTGAAGTAGCGAATACTCGCGATGATCTCATAGAAATGAAATTAAAATTGAAACAGTAAAAGTGCTTGCTCGAATTAAAGAAAAGTAGAATTAATAATTTCTTGTTTACATCAAAAAGATTTTCGAAAAGCATATTCTTAAGAGGAAAATCATTTTAGTTTTACATGTTGAACGGTTGAAAAGTGATAACATATGACAATTTAATGTAATCAATAGCAAATTGCAAAAAATAAGTGCACAAGCAACACGCACAAAACAGAAATAGAATCATACGTTTATTCAAATAACAGCATTATAGAAGTCTTATGTTCATTCTTATTAAAATATATATATGTGTGTGTGTATATATATATATCTAGATTTTAATAGTATTATTAAATAAACGTTTGACTATTCACATTGCATATTATTTCTATCAAATTATGTATAATTTCAAAACAATATAAGCTATAAACCATATACATTACTTATATCTCGATACAGAAATTATTATTGTTACAGCAAAACTATTCGGAAAGCAAATGAATTCTTTTCACTTAACTCAAATCTCAATATATGAAAATTATCGAGATTTATACAATGATGCGGGAAAATAAAAAAAAAGCCAGTTTTATATCAGAAGAAGACAAGTCAAAAGTCATTGTTCAACGATCCCTGTTAGATTTTAAACACGAATCGAATTTAGTAACTTAATCAATTCACTAAGAAGACGTATGTGATCACAATGTTCGTTATCTTCCAGTAACCACAAAACGATACTCCATACACATATAAATTCTGTATTTCAGCGATTTGAACAAGTTTAATTGGAAGCCGTGGCTGTCGCGGTCGGCGCGGGAGTGGACGTCGATGTAGACTCCTCCGTCACGATTCGCCGATTCTTCTTTATCCTCTTCCACTCGCCGTTCGTGTAATTCATTTGGAAATGCGTTTCGACTAACATGGGGACAGTTGTTCCGTCCGATTGCGTTACTTCTTCTATATTCTCCGAGAGCATCACCGTGACTATATTGCCCAATTTTGGACAAGGATTATCTGCAAGCGAGACAATCGATAGTATCATCGAAATATAATTTATAAAAGAGAGAGAGAGGTATGCGCGTGCGGAAGATAGACATACCCCTAGAACCAGCCATGAAACCTAAAATAAGAGCTTTCTCTGGACGAGTGACCTTGTTCGCAGTTCTAAACATTTCTTGCGCCTCCAACATTTGTTCTCGCTGCAATGAGATAACAATGAGTAGTAAGAGAATCCTACATTCGCAACAATATATGATAAAACAAAATGAAATCCCGCGTGTAGCTCACCGTGAGAGATAGGCCTTTTCTTGGATTAGCCGCGTTAGGTTGCGTGGTGGTCTGTATACGAATCTGTGTAACTGTCTGAGCCGGTCTGACTGTTGTTTGCACGGCGACCGGCGTACTTTCCACAGGCGTTATCACCGTTGGTGTAGCCACTGCCAGCACAGTGGTGGGCGCTGTGGTGGTGGTGGTGGTAGTGGTGGTGGTTAACGTAGTGGCTGTGTAACGCAAAATACTTAATCACGCTCCGAACGAGACGACACGGCTGTCGTAACGAATTCGATTGCTTGCACTAGTGCGCACCGAGCGCACACTAAAGCCCGCATCAGACTACGGATTGAGATTGGGATTAGATTGAAATTTGACCAATTGACCAGAGTAAAAGTTACTGAACCTGAGATTAGTAAACTTTACTGTGATTGGTTAAATTTCTATCTAATCCCAATCCCAATCCGTAGTCTGATACAGGCTTAAGGCTCGTTTATAGTCAAATCTTATGTTTAAGGATCGCTTGAAATATCTCTTGAAATATGTCTTGGCCAGTAAAGTGATCTGTGTAGCATCCACACGAGTCATTTTTTGGCTAAATACTCTTTGAACGTGTATTTACGAGGAAGTTATAGCGTTCAGTAGCCGCAACGTCGTGTCTTACGTGTTTGCTGCGTAGTCGTAACAGAGATGCTGCTCGGCGTGCTGGGCGCGGTGTAGGTTGGCGTTGTGGCTACCACGGGGGCTGAAACCGGCGTGGCGGGCGGATTTATCGAGGCCAATCCCTGCGCGTACTCGGGCGTTGTCGGGGTTTCCGCGACCGGCGAGGCCGCCGAAGCTGCGGCCGCCGCGGCGGCCGCCTGCGCTTCCGCGACTTTCTTCTGCTGCTCCTCCATCTCCAGCATCTTTTTCCTCTTCTTCGCCTGCGCGTAACCGAGGGGCTGCTCGTTAATGTCCAGCAATTTAATACCGCCATCCTTTCGAATTCTACTGCTGATCGATGTTCTATTAGTCACGGAAGTGTTTGTGAGCGACGGGGACCGGAAACCGCTCGTCGGCACTCTGCTCGGGATGCCTTTCAAGGGCGCTGAAAAGTTTCCGAGTTTTGATCGCCATCTGGTATATGCTACGAAAGTGGCACCAAAGGTCTGTTGGCGTCGCACGGCCCAGCATGCTCATTTGAATAATATAAAGTGGACGCTCGTTGAATGTATAAACAAATGATCAAATTTTAAAGGCCAAAAATAACGAGCTACTATAAAGGATGTTAGAAGAATCAATTATATTCTTAATAATTCACATAGATGAACGTTTCGATTTCACTTAGTCTTTTTCAATACCCTAATTCTATAATTAAGTTACATTAAATTTAAAAGTTACGTGACTGGTCATTTCAATTATTATTAAATGTCGTTGGAATACGTTAAAATTTAGTAAACAAGAGTTATATGTATATATAAATGCCAACTTCATAAGCAAAATGCTCATTTGAATTGTAGATAAAATGGCGGTATTGGTCGTTGTAGCAAACTGGAGCACGTGGGGCACGCAAAGCCGACAGACCACAAGAGACGTCGTAACATACGTTTGTAAATTTATACTCACTCGTGTCAGTCATTTTCCTCGGCATCCCTCTGCTCCTCACCGGTACAGTGGGAGCTGTGCTCTTCTTGAGATTATTAGCGGCGTCGGTGCTCTTCTGTAGCAACTCTGCTCTCAAGGCTGCGCTCTTTGGTTTCCTCTTGAGAGTGAAATGTTTGACTGGCGTGGGCTGCTGACCCACCACCGACGTCAACGCAGTCTTGTTGAGATAGTGACACTCCAGGGGAAGCATATTGGGATCATTCTGCTTCTTGAGAAGCTTCCGCAGATCGTTGACCAAGTCGCCGAAAATCGGCCTGTGCTCGTCCAGGTCGGTGATGTCTGTATTTAAAGAACCAGTCGACGGGAAGGTCTTCATCGCTTCGGATAGCATCGATACCCACAGCTCGCTGTCCAGAGACGCAACCTCAATGATCTCCTCCAGCTCCACCCGCCACTGAATCGCCAACAAGTTCGATATATATTCAAGTACAAAGAATTTCATTGAAAGTACAAACATCGTCGAAGACGGTAGTTTCGGTAGAATTAAAATTCAGACAAAAGGGACGAACTTTGGGTCTGTTTGTAACAAGATTCTCTTGCGACGGACACGTACGGCAAAGTCGAATTGCGACACGGTTCCCGTACGAAAATTATAATCTTGCCAGACTCAAACGAATGGCATAAACGTAGACTCCTGTAAATACTAGTCCTATGTAGTTTTTATACTAAGCATTTCAAAAACATGGCATAATTGAGAAAAATCAAGTGGACGGCAAATGCGGGTAAACAGGCGCGTACGGGATAAAGAGACGCGAGCGCGATACTAATTTCGGCCTCGTGGAGAGCAACAATATTTCGGGGGAGGCGATACTTGTCAAAGGTACGGGAATGCCGAGATAAACGAGAGCGCTTTACCTCTTCAACATTGCGCCTGGGTATGTGAAAGAACGACAGTAGCAACTTGAGCTTGACCTGCGTCTGCAGGTCGGGAAAACAATCCTTGATGTTCCGCAACACCTCGGCATTGAGTTGCGAGCAGATCGAGCTGCCGGTCCAGCTGTCGTTCGATGTACCGAGCTTATTATGCAGCCATAACGACGTATCGCTGTCCCTCACATTCGCCATATTGGAGTCGTTTGCTTCCGGCGCGTGCCGTACCTCGCCGTAATGCGCCACATGCGGTTCCCGCCACGGGGCGACGCGCGTGCGCGCGCACAACTTAGGCTGGATTCACATGGAGCGTAAGTCCCAGTCTACAATAGATGATTTAAGCCCTAAGCTTTAAGAAATTGGCCAATCACGGTCAAGTATGAGAAGAATGCGCGACTGTGATTAGTCAATTTCTTAAGTCCCAGTCTACAATAGATGATTTAAGCCCTAAGCTTTAAGAAATTGGCCAATCACGGTCAAGTATGAGAAGAATGCGCGACTGTGATTAGTCAATTTCTTAAGGCTTAGGGCTTAAATCTCTATTGTAGACTGGGACTAAGGCTTAGGGCTTAAATCTCTATTGTAGACTGGGACTAAGTCCCAGTCTACAATAGAGATTTAAGCCCTAAGCCTTAGTTCCAGTCTACAATAGATGATTTAAGCCCTAAGCTTTAAGAAATTGGCCAATCACGGTCAAGTATGAGTAGACTGCGCGACTGTGATTAGTCAATTTCTTAAGGCCCATTTACCAGCGGAAACTGGAGAGCAGCGTGATAGCGTGGTGTTGTCGCTCGGGATCGTGTCCTGCCGGTTGGTGCTTCAAATGCAGGACCAAGAGATAAAGCGGGTCAA